TACCACCCCCATAACCCCCCCGTATCCCCCACCATCCCCAAAAGTTTCTCAGCAAGCACAGTACAGTCCCATAGTCAGATTGAAAAAAAAAAAAACAGGTGATGGCATTTTACTGACTGGTTGACAGATCGGGGTAGTGGTCAGCAGGTATGCAACCCTGCCCGCGCGTGTATTTCTGGTCTCCCTTCGTCCTCAAGGGCTCCAGTGGGCCTCTGTGAGGGCTCCAATCCTCGCACAAATGAATGAGCAGACCAAAAAAGAATGACAATGTCATGCATGGACCAAAAACCAAAACGAACAAGAAAAAACAAATGTACACTGCAATGACTGCATGATGAAATTTCACACCCCGCCACAAGTCACTGGCAAGCATTGCAATGCAAACGCATCAGATGTCTGCGAGCAATGATTGCCGCGATTTTGGCTACGAAACCACGTGTCCACCCAATACAGTTTGCGACGTGCCCACAAAACAAAACTGAAAGGTTGAACATCAGGGGCCCAAACAATGAGCCAAGGGCCACAAATGGGATAAGGCTGTGAAACAAAGCAAATATTGCGGTGCAACGACAGCCTGCGGCCAAAAAGGTATATTCTTGTAGGTATGTGGTATAAACTTTTAAGTATTTTGTTGCATTCTGTAATTTCTGTTATTATTTTTACCAAAAAGTTGCACCATGCAAATCAAAGGCCCCAAATGTTCAGCTTTAGCTTAACACGAATAGCAGTCCCGAACCAAATGGTCCTACTGATTGAGACCTCGTGTTGTGCAGACGCAGATAGACTCACATTACAAGGTTACCGTTTCCTGCAGAAACACCAGCCGCAAAATCTCGTGGGGGTGGCAAATCACCATATCCAGTAAGCTCGACCCACTGCCAAGTATCTGAGCACAAAACAAGCATATAGACATGCACACAGTCAAATCACAGTACTCCTTTGGTTACCCGTAGAAGGCAATTGCTGCCAACAGAAATCATATGACTGTACCACATAGACAAATCACAGTGCTCCTTTCATTATCAACCACAGGATCCTTAGTGAAGGCAATTTCTGCCAACAGAAATCATATGACTGTACTACATAGACAAGTCACAGTGCTCCTTTTGTTATCAACCACAGGTTCCTTAGTGAAGACTTCCTGCCATTCAATCAGAGATTTATCATCCAGAAACCATATATGTGACTAGGCGGAGGTAGAGCAGCGAGGTCGGGGAAGAGAGAGGGAGGGTGTGAGAGCACACACACACACTCACTCAACTCGACACGCACTTTACACGACTCGACGGACGCAGACACAAAGTGGCAAAGTGGCAAAGTCGCAAAGTCGCAATCTTGGTTCCGTACACAATGTTGAAGCAAGTCACACTGAAGCACAAGCACTGAGGCCGAAAACTGAATGCCCGAATTCAGCTTGAGTCCGGTCTTAAGTACCGGACTCAAGTTGAGTCCGAGGGCAGAAGTGCAATTTGCCTCAGGGCTGAACTGAAAATCGAAGGTCGGATGGCGCCAAGTATCGAAATCCGAAAGTGCCAGGGGCGGGATTTGAGAACGGGCGCCAACTGCAGAGGGCACCAACAGTCAGGAACCAGAGATCAGAGACTCCAAAAAGTAGAATAGCAGCCTGGCAGGTGTAACCCGCGGACCAGGGATCAAGCCCTGGCTGGGTCCGTAACACTATCCCCTCCCTCTGGAAGGCAACGTCCCAGCTGCCAAAGACCCAATGAACAACTATGAAGGACGGGACGGGGCCGATCCCTGGTCAGAAAAGGAAAGGGAGAGTAATGCAAGTACCAGGGTAATCCTATGGGGGTTCTACAGGGATGAGGGAATCAATGCTAAAGTAACAGGGTAATAATCCTATTGAGGTTCTACAGGGATGAGGGAATCAATGCTCAAGTAACAGGGTAATGTTACTAAGGTTCTACAGGGATGAGGGAATCAATGCTCAAGTAACAGGCAATCCTATTGAGGTTCTACAGGTAACAGGGAGGTCCGTGTCTTAGGTCTGTAACAAAGTGTCAAAAGCGAAAAAATGTCTTGACGAAGGTCTTGGAAGGTGTCACAGAAGTGGCGGTGAGGAAACAGTCTTCAGCAGTTCTGTGATGTAGATGGCGATGACTTCAGCTTGATTATCAAAGTAGCAGGTTACATCCGGTACACGATCTGATGATGAGGTCTGATCCGGATAGCAGGTCGCAGACTGATCTTGATGCCCATGTCAGAGGTGCTGCTCCAGAAGCCTGTGAGTCCAAGGTGCCGGCCAAAGGGAACAGCATGGTGGCCAACCAGCTGTCTTATCTCCTCGTACTGAGCTGCCGCATGCCATCGTCCTTGTGCGCTTGCCATTAGATCCATTATCGCCGGCAACGCGGAGGGGCCACATAGAGAACTTGGACAAGAGAGACAAGGATGTGGCCGAGGACAGATGGGAGAACGGGCCAAGGTGGAGGCAAGAGCGGATCAGACAGGGGGGGGTTCAAGAGGCAAGGGCTTCGCTGGGTACAGGGGTGTGTGTAGGGCAGGAATGCGGGGTTTTGGCGGAGTCAAGGCAGGGTTTATGCAAGGGTTTAGGGTTTGGGTTTGGGTTATATTATGTATCTAGGATATAGTGTGAGCACGATCATAGGCGCGAACAAGTTTCATAGCATTCTTAAGGTTAGCAAGAAGTTCCCATGTGGATTCTTCGTCAGGGTATCCTATCCATTTAAGTTTGTATTCTGTGATTGGTTTCGGGTGGTCAGATACCTGAGCAGTTCTCCGTCCTATGATGGCTTCCACGACGAATTCAGGGCCTGTGGGTAACATGATTGGTGGGGGTCTAGGATATGGGTCATCAGCGAATTGGGGTGGGGATTCATGGTATTCTTTTAGGTATTCTACGTGGAAGACATAGTGGACACGACTCATGTTAGGGGGGAGTTGGAGCTTGTTATTGACGGGGGAGGTTTGTTCAATGATGGGAAGGGACCGAGCCATTTGTTCGAGAGTTTCTTGGACAAGCCATGTTCGGGTTCAAAGCGTTTGGCGGAGAGCCAGACTTTGTCCCCTTTTTTGAATGACACATCACATCTGTGTTTCTTAGCCCTGTTGGCTTGTTGTTCTTGTGTTCAAGGGCTTCGGTAGCTTCTCTGAGGAGTCTGTTCGTTGTTGCTACCCATTCATTGAGTGAAGGGTAAGGGGTGGAGGGGTTGAGTTGCGAGGGGAGCAGGAAGTCGGAGGGCAAGCATGGATGATAGCCAAGGTCGAGGTAGAATGGAGTCATGCCAGTGGAGGGACAAACAACATTGTTGTAGACGATCTCGGAGGCGGTCAGCAACCGATCCCAATCGTGGTGATGAGGATGACAATACTTGAGCGTGGTTCCATAGGCTTCAAAGAGGTGTTTCCAGAATTGTGAAAGGAAGCGAGGATCACGGTCGCTGACGATGTTCTCGGGGAGACCGTGATGGCGTGAGACATGGTCGAAGAAGATAATGGCGACGTCCTTAGCGCTGTGCGATGAGGTGCAAGGGATGAAGTGGGCGTGTTTAGTCAGGCGGCAAATGATGACATAGATGCAATCATGTCCGCGGTCAGTCTTGGGGAGACCACGGACGCAAGTCCATGGAGATGGACTGCCACCACTGGGCGGGGATCGTCAATGATTGTGGCTTGTCGGGCTTGGCACGGTTTGAGGAGTTGACGGCTTGACATGTGGGGCATGAGCGAATGTAGGCTTTGACGTCGGTGAGTAGGGAAGGTCAGTAGAAGTAACGAGAGACGGTGTCAAAGGTTTTTTGGAACCCGAGGTGTCCCACAGTCTTGGGGTCGTGATGCTCGGCCAAGAGCTGGGTACGGAGGCCACGTGCGTCGGGGATGCAAAGTCGGCGAGTGCCTTTGGTGCCAATGTAAAGAAGTTGGTTGTGAAGGGAGTAATCGAGAACTGAGTCGAGGTCACGAAGTTTGTTGTAGATTGTTGAGAATTCCGGGCAAGAGAGGTAGCCTTGGGTGTAGCGGTGGTGGAGCGATGGGAGGAGTTGGATATGAGTCATGGCGGCGTAGACTTTCTCAGAGGGCATCGGCAACGCGGTTGCTTTTGTCGGGGGTGTGTGGCAAATGGTGAATCTGAATTGAGCAAGAAAGTCTAACCAACGGGCTTTGCGCGGCGTGATGTCTTTCTTGGTGAGGATAGAGGAAACAATGGTGTTGTTTGTGCAGATGGTGAAGTATTGCCCGTCGAGGTACGAGCGCCAGACTTTGAGGGTGTCGATCACGGCGAGGAATTCCTTCTCGTTGGAGGGGTAATTAATCTCCGCGGTATTCGCCAGGTGGAGCCTCGGGGTGGGTGGGGGAGTCTTGGATAGAGGGGGTTTCAGCGGTGTCGCGAGAGAAGTGTTGGGATAGGACGGCTCCAAGGGCGAATTCGGATGCGTTAGTGGTAATGTAGAAATGTCTAGAGGGGTCGACGATCTTGAGGATGCGTGTCGTGGTGATGGTTTGTTTGAGGAAGTCTAAGGCGTTTCGGCGTCGGTCGTTCCAAGTGAAGGGTTCGTCCCTGCGTGTGAGTTCATGGAGGGGGTACGAGATGTCGGAGAAGTTGCAGATAAAGGGGCGGTAGTAGTTGGCGAGGCCGAGAAATGAGCGAAGTTGGAGTAGGGTCTTGGGTGGTGGATACGCGATGAGGGCGGTGCCCTTCGAGGGGTCCATGCGTATACCTTCAGCAGAGACGATGTGGCCAAGGTATTCAACGCTGGTAGCGGCAGAGGTGCATTTGCCGAGCTTGGCGTATAATTTTTGCTCTCTGAGGATAGAGAGTACTTGGTGGAGATGCTGAAGGTGGGACTCGAAGGTGGGGCTATAGACAAGGATATCATCGAGGTAAACGACAACACAGACTTCGAGGAGGTCGCGGAAGATGTGGTTCATGGTGGATTGGAATGTGGCGGGGGCGTTGGTGAGTCTGAAGGGCATCACGAGGAACTCGTAGTGCCCAAAGCGAGAATGGAATGCGGTCATGTGGGTGTCCTCCTCGCGGATGCGGATTTGGTGGAAGCCACTGTGGAGGTCAATTTTAGTAAAATATTTAGCTCCACAGAGGCGATCAAGAAGCTCGGAGATCCGAGGTAGGGGTTACCTGTTCTTGATCGTGATCCGATTCACGGCGTGGTAGTCTGTGCACATCCGGAGTTCCAATGTTCCGCCTTTCTTGACAAAAAGGCAGCTTGTGCCGAAGGGGGATGAACTTGGCTTAATGAATCCTTTTTCAAGGAGTTCATTGAGTTGCCGCTTCATTTCTTCGGTTCCGGAACGGAGAGTTGGTACGGAGGGCGGTAAGGTGGAGAGTGACCGGGCTCCAAATCGATGGTGTGGGATACGCCACGATCCGGAGGTAATCCAGCGGGCAAGGACTCGGGGAAGAAGTCCTCGAAGTCATCGAGGATGGAGGTGAGGGCAGGGTCGGAGGGGGCGGCTTGGTCGGGTTTGTTTGTTGGGAGCAAGTCCTCCGGACGCTCGCGATCAAGGACAAGGCAATAGTAGGTGGAGTCAGGGTACGTACGAGCCATGTGAAGGAATTGGTGCGTGGTGACGGAGCTTGGGGAGGGGGGATAGGGGAGACGGGGAATGTCGATGGTTGTGCCAGGGGGGGTGGTAAGGCGGATAATGTTGGGGTGGAATGAGTATGGCATGTAGCGGTCCAGCCACGGTGTTGACATCAAATGAGACCTGATTGCGAAGGGTTCCGACAATCATGGTGGTCTCGGGAACCATGCGGTCTACTACGACGGCGGTGTCTTTGTCTCCTAAACGAATCGTAATCGGGGAGTCATAACCGGTAGAGGCTTTTCGAACACACGCGTCGGTGATGAAGTTACCGGTGGCTCCAATGTCGAGGAGGGCACGTAA